ACTGTTGATGCGCTAAACTTAGCGCAGGGGCTGAAGCAGGAGCGCAGCATAGCGCAGCTTAGCGCAGCAGCGAGCGGAGCAGCAGCAGGGCGACTGAACCAGCACGGCGGCCATTGCCGCCTGAGGTACCGGGAGCTTGGAGGGTCTCTCCTCCTCTCCCTCGCCAGTCCCCTCTCTCTCTCTCTCTCTCTCCTCTTCTTCTCCTTCTTCTTCTTCTTCTTCTTCTTCTTTCAGATTGGAGACTATCCAGTTGGATAGAGATCAGGGTTGGATTCCGGTGACACGAGACTGTGGTACTTACCTGATTGGAGACTTGGAGATTGTTGAGGTTGATACCCGGCTGCATCACAGTTGGACACCGGTTACATCTGGACTCGGTTATCTCCGACATTGGTGACCTTTGGTCCTCGACACTTTGATCTTGTTATATGACATTCTGGACTACCATTGTGRRGACCTACCGGACTCTATCTCGTAACCTATCGGTGTGATCTACCTCCTACCTCCTTCGTCTCTCCTCCCACCTTTCATCTGTGTATGTGTGTACGGGATCTGTGTATCGTCTATGCATGACCCAGACCCCACCATCTCATGATTGTATGTGTGTGGAGTGATGCCATGTAGGTCAGTCTATGTGAGTCAGTCTATGTGAGTCAGTTCGTTATCGGACTTCCGCTGCATAAATGCTCATCCTATATTGGTTGATCTTTGGTTCTGCCCATACTCATTGAAGTATGCAACATGCGCTATCCACTGGCTGCCTGGCACTCACGCTCTCACGGGCGAGTAGGAGGGAGCACGCAGCCATAGTCAAGCTGCGCTTCTGTATGCTAGGTGAAGCGCAGGGTGGTCCTTGGGTGCTAGTGACATCTGTGCGGTGTGGATCGGGGTTGTGAGTGTTACGAGAGACATACCTGGTGCTGAAGGGTGCGACATTGGTCGCCATATGCTCGTACTTCGGGAACGCTGTTGATGTCATCATTCTGATTCGTAGTATAGGCTTGATAGGATCTGCCACATGTAGTCTGGGCGCCGAGCGCCAATAGGATATCAACTCTGGTTCGTAGTTGATGATGATGGGACTACTTCAGCATTGTCAATTTTGAACTCTTGGTGTGTTCTTATTTGGTGTATCTCGTGATGCAAGTCTGCTGTGGTTCGTGGTCAATACTATCTGGGCTCGTATGTATGAAGCTGTTTGATTGCTGAAGTTCGCTAATGCTCATCTTCCTTGCAGGTGCTTGCGCTTCCATTAAATCATGACTGTTGTAGAACATATTTTGTCCAACCTGCATTCTGCCCGAGTCTGACTTGCCGAACCTCAGTCCTTGCCTCCCGGGGGGGGCAACTTTTTGTGGCCGCGGTTTTATTTCCATTTTCTTTGTCTGTGGCCACCAAAGGCTTCTGGCAGTGTCAGAACCCTTGGTTTTCAGACCGGGATGCCACCAGATCACCCCATTGCCACCTTGTATACGGGTGTTCTTGGTGAAGCCATCTTAGAGAGTGGCAGCTTGAGATGAAGAAATATGGTCACTGAAGATTTTGCCACGTGTCAAATGCAGCTCGTCTTCTCCTTTTTCATGGGCGTTTTCCCCGATTTTTATTCTTTTTGTGTTGGCAATTTTGATTTTGAGGCCATAGTGCAATAAGACTCTGTATTCTTCCTGACTCAGCATGCATGAAAACAGATGGCAATCACACTGGCGCCAGGCGCCCACACAAAGCTCAGAGATATCAAGGCCAAGAACACAGTTCAGATTTCAACTTGCTCCTGATGGCTATGGCGCTTGTGCGCCCACACAACACCCAGCCGACACTGTATTCCCAGTAACTGTTTACACACACGCTACTCTCGATCTCCCAACTGTTTACACACATGCGACTCTGGATCTCCCTGGATGTCCCACACACACGCTTCACACAACACTTTCACACCTACATGCTACAGCCTATCTCTAACCTGTGGCAGGTATGGCTGCCTTCTACCTCCCAGCTACTAGTGGCGATGGCCGCTGCGTCTCCTTCACAGCCCACTTCTCCTTCGGGCACCTGCAGACCTTGCACAAGATGCTCAGGCAGCGCATCCGCATGGCTCACGGGCAGAATGAATGAATGACTGGACGCTGCCTCTTGATTTTATACTTCGGATGGTCGCTGGTCTACCCCTTTCCACTGGGCCCAGGGTGGTACTTGCTGACTGGACAGAGTGCGACTGGGACTGGATACCGCTGACTAGGCGAGGTTGGACTCCCAACTTGCCCACTTGCTTCTAGCCTGACCTACGCAATTCTCGAAAGGCCACTTCCGGACCTTCCGGAAGACTTGGCCTTTCGGGACTGTAGCAGGTACGACCTTGACCTTTCAGGACTGTAGCAGCTACGACTTCTACATAGCTATGACCCCTATTTGACAGATCTACGGTTCAAGACCTGACAACCATACAAACCTGCAACAGACGACAAACGACTACCAAGGCACAGGTCACGGGTTCAAACACACAGGGAATCGACTTGGTATTGTACACGGGTGAGGACAAGGTCTAGGGATCTAGCCCTGGGACTGCATCTGCTGTCGTAAAGGTGAAAACCGTTTCAATAGGGATCCCAATGAAGCCATGCGGGCTACTCCTCCTGAAGCCTGGTGTGTCAGATCACTCTTAAGGCTTCTGTCGCACCACTATGTATGCTATCTTGAGGTGTGCCTTCTCTCTGGTATCTGTCCAGTCCACAGTGAGGGCACATTTGCAGGACTTCTTGGACTGAATCTGGCTGTCAACACCGTTAGATGCATCTGTGTGAGTCATATAGTTAGCATGCCCTAAACATAAAAAAAGAGTTTAAACCATACATTAACAGTTAACGAAAATTCCTTTGTGCTCGGCTGTGTCCTGTACTCGTTTCCTCTCCCAGGAGTTGCCTGTTTGGGCGCGAAGGGTGGTTTATACCAGCTGGGCAAAGGCCTTCAATGCAAGTGAGTAACCAACGTTTTTTCTACTCGCGCCATTGTAAAATGACACCTAAGATGACCTATCCATTTGTTGCTTGGAAAGGACTGGTACATAAGATCAAGCTATCAATGCCTCGGGTTGCCAAGGAAGTTCAACAACGTGGTTGACAGATCTGCTAGCAGGTTGTCGAATAATCCGTTTCAGACAGCTGGATGTATGCCATCCAACATGCACCCATGGATCGGGTTCTGGAACAGAACGGTTTCATAGGCGTGACAATAACTGTACAAACGGCCTGCTAGCAGAGAGAGAGCAGCTAAGCTTTGATGAGACGGCCTCTACTGTCTTGACCCGAATTAGAGCGTACGGTAATTATGAGTGTATGTAGACTGAAAGTCGCACCAAATGCCAGCTACAATGACCGTATGTTCTATTCAGTGGAAGACAGTAGTTTCTGCCCCGGAATCGTTTCATTCTCCTTACAGCCATCAACCCACCAGCTGTCACCCCACCTTTGGGTGCTGTTTTATCTTTGGATGGTGTTTGGTAATTGGACTGTGGTTTGTGCCATATGTTTTGGTCAGACTTGTCCGATTCTTTGCACCGGCAGCCATCAACCCACCAGCTGTCACCCCCACCTTTGGGTCCTGCTTTATCTTTGGACGGTTTTTGGTAATTGGACTGTGGTTTGTGGCATATGTTTCGGTCAGACTTATTTGCATCAGCTATCTTGTCTTGGTCTGGTAAACCACCAGTACTTTTCCCAGCAAGAAGACCTATTAGATCCGTATATCTGCCCGAGAGGTTGCGTTCTCTCAACGAAGAAGAAAGACCTCCGGGGATCTTATCCGGAGGAAGGCTCTTGTTCGTCTGCGGAATCTGACTGACCCTCTTCGCTGCCTGTAAGGGTTGGTTTCCCTCCCCAGCTACTATAGGGCCTCCGTACCATTCTATGATGTTGCAGTGTCTGTGCCACATTTGGCGGGATGTATGGACCGGTTCGTAAAAAGCCTATCCAGGCAAAACGGGCTGTGCATGCAATGCGTTTTGCCTGGATGTTTTTCTTGCGGACTGGTGGGCCGGTACATCGCGGTGTGAGCACTGGCACATTGTAGAAAGATGACATTGTAGAAAGATGGCTGGGAACTGGTGGTCTAACAATTGCTCTTGCTGGTGTAAACTTGCCAACGTTTTCTTTGGGTGGCTGGGGTGATTGATCGATTACCACGGATCTTGATCAGTCAGAAATATGTTTGCGTCAAAGAATGGTCGTTAATCGATGATAGCCATGATCAAGCTTTTCTCACCCTCTGTGATGGGTTGTACATTTAAACCACCACTAGACTACTTTTTATAACTGCTCTGGCTACCAGGAGGTCCTCCCTTTTTCAGTTGGTCGTTGGACCGATGATCTAACGGCCACAGGGTTCCTTCTCTATGCAGGTCCACAGCCCCGGGCAACTACAGAAATGAATGGCTCACTCCTAAATTTTGGAGGCTCGGGGTCACCAGACCATAATGGCTGGCGGCACCACCCAAAAAGGAAACGAAGTGCGCTGCTGGCGGTTCAGCAAAGCTTGGGGTGCGGTGTGAGTCTGCCAGCCCTTGGGTGTACATTTGGTTTAATGTTACACATCAACCCATACTCCGAAAGCTTAGTCGCCCTCCCTGTGACGCTGTGCACCGAGCCGGTTCTTTTCAGGCACATTGGGCCATAGGATCTTGATCTTTGTTGCTGCTGTTGCCGGAGAACTGATTTCTTAACGGTTTTGTGAGCTCTACTTTTGCGGCACGTCGACTTTTTGGGGTGCTGTTGTGTCGACACGTGTGTGCCCTCTTTGCTCTTCGCTCGTGTTTGTATTGCGTTGCCGTCGTTGATTTCTCCGCTATCTAGCGATTTCGCCGTGATTTGGGGTGTGTGGTGTTTGTGCAGTGTCGCGGCGTTGTGTTTTTTTGGATGGATGTGGTCTCGATATGAGACGCGATGCTCTTGGGCAAGGTTCAGCGTCCTCTGTGGTTTGCGTTGCTCTGGATGTGGTCTTGATATGAGGCACGATGCTCTTGGCCGACATTCGGCGTCCTCTGCAGTTTGTGTTGCTCTGGATGTGGTCTCGATATGAGGGGCGATGCTCTTGGCCGACGTTTGGCGTCCTCTGCGGTTTGTGTTGCTCTGGATGTGGTCTCGATATGAGGCACGATGCTCTTGGCCGACGTTCGGCCTCTTCTGCGGTTTGTGTTGCTCTGGATGTGGTCTCGATATGAGGCGCTCTTGGGCGACGTTAAGCGTCCTCTGCGGTTAGTGTTCCGATGCCGGCCCGTTGATGTGGCGGTGTTCTTTGTCCCGATTCAGCCGGCCCTGGATGTGGTCTCAATATGGGGCGTGATGCTCTGGGGTGAGGTTCGGTGACGTCTGCGGTTTGCTTAGCGTTTGGATGTGGGGCTGTTCGTGTGGTTGGGGAGGTGGGAGGCGGGGGGGGTGGGGGTTCTTTGTCTACATTCGGCGTGCATCTGGTCAGGTTTCAGGCCTGCATTCGTTGTTTGTTTAGGGTTTGGGATGGTGAGTTCGGCGGCCTCTCCGTTTAGTGTTTCGGGGGAGGTGGGGGTTCGTTGTTTGCATTCGGCCTGCATCTGGTCAGGTTTCGGGCCCGCATTCATTGTTTGTTTAGGGTTCGGAATGGCGAGTTCGGCGTCCTCTGCGGTTACTGTTTCTATGCGGGCCTGTTGGTGTGGGGGTGTTTGTTGTCTAGAATCACCCGCCCCTGTGGGTCGTTCGGTTGGCATGAATGTGCTGTGCTTTTTGGCCCGGGTGTATCTGCCGTGTTTTCTGCTGGGCCGCTTTTCTCTGTCTCGGCGCTGTAGGGGCGATGCTCTTGGGGGAGGTTCGGCGTCATCTGTGGTTAGTGTTCCGATGCGGACCCGTTGATGTGGCGACGTTCTTTGTCCCGATTCGGCCGGCCCTGGATGTGGTCTCGATATGAGGCGCGATGCTCTTGGGCGAGGTTTGGCATCGTCTGCGGTTTGCTTATTATTCGGATGCGGGGCCGTTCGTGTGTTGGGGAGGTGGGAGGGCGGGGGGGTTGGGATTTCTTTGTCTACATTCGGCCTGCATCTGGTCAGGTTTCAGGGCCGCATTCGTTGTTTCTTTAGGGTTCGGAATGGCAAGTTCGGCGTCCTCTGCGATTTGTGTTTCGATGCCGGCCCGTTGTTTGGGGGTGTTTGTTGTCTAGATTCAGCCGCCCCTGTGGGCCGTCCGGTTGGCCTGCATGTGCTGTGCTTTTGGGGTCGGGTGCATCTGACGTATTTTCTTCTGGCCCGCTTTCCTTTGTCACGGCGCGGTATCTGCCGTCGGTTGTGGTGGGATCCCTGGGGAAAAAAAAGTCGCAAAAGTTCACAGGTGGTCCTGCAGTTTTTAACCTGGTCGTCTTCCTGGGGAAGCTGCGTAGTCTCGCGGCATTGCAGGTGCATGCATTTCGGCCCGGGTGCATCTGTCCTCGGCCGGTTTTACCTGGTCGTCTTGGTCGGGAAGATGCGCAGTCTAGCGGCGTTGCAGGTGCATGCATTTCCCGACTGGCTGGGGCATGTGCGTTCTTGGGAGGGGTGGGGGGGTGGTGTCTGGGTAGCTTTTTCGATTGATGTGGTCAGGATATGAGGCCGGATGCTCTTTTGGCCCCGGTGCATCTGATGCGTTTTCTGCTGCGCCTGCATTCCTTTGTTCTGACGCGGTGTCTGCCCTCGCTCGAGCGTGGATACCTGGGGGGGGGGGGGAAAGTCGCAAATGTTGACGGGTGGTCCGCCGGTTTTACCTGGTCGCTTTCCTGGCGAAGGTGTCTTCGTTGCCACTGTCGACATCCGTGCCGGTGCCGGGTTACTGTCCTCTTCATTGGTTGGGCTCGTATCAAATTTCGGATGATTGAAGTTTGCGGTGCCTGCGGTGACTGTCACGTAAGACATGTGATGATGACCTTGAAAAAAAATGCCCGGCCCGACGTTAAATAACCCGGCCCGATCGTTGCTTTCGTTTTGGCTGGATTTAGTCTGGTGTTGGGCGCGGGTGCATCTGACGTGTTTTCTTGTGGGCCACTTTTTCTTCGTCCTGGCGTGGTCTGCTCCCGGTTGGGCGTCGGGAGCTTGGGGAAAAAATTGCTTGCAGGGGTGCTCGGGATGCTTTACCTGCTCGCGTTCCTGCCGAAGGTGTGCATTTTGGTTGTTTAGTGCGGTGTGATGCAGTCATTTTTTACTCTGTTTTCTTCTTTGCCGCTGAATTGTCACGGTGTCAGGCTTTGTGTTGTCCGTTTTTTTCTGAGGCCGGAGTCATTATGTTGATATTGGGAAGGGCTTGCATTGGCCCTTCTTATCCTGCCCGTCTTGCATTGAGGTTGTTGTGGGACTCGCTTCTCTGCCTACCAGTGTGCGTGCATTTGGACGCTGTGTGGGCCTGTTCCATTCGGGGCTGTTCCGTTGTGGTGGTGTCTGTTCTTCTCCCCCGCCGGCATGTTGCTGTCCTTTTTCAAGCTTGGGTTGTTTTGCCTGGGGTCCAATTCTGGGCAGCTTCCGCGGCTTGTCTGCCTGCTGCGGAAACTGTTGTCGTCGGTCTGGTTGTCCTGACGGGAGATAAACTTGGTTGGGTTAAACGAGTCGTGAATCGTCAAATGATGTCCTGTGTCCAAACCGCAAGTCTGTAACTTTGACGGCCATCAAAACACCTGCCACCCATCCGTCCCTGGAACACATTTCCCCGACGAACATATCAGGCCCTAACTCCAATTCCCGAGATCTCCAGTCTCCTTTCCATCTTACCGTGAGCTTCTTCGCAGGGTCTATTGAACATGAGATTGACCCGGATACAATTGTGGCGGTGCTAGAAACCCAAGAGATACTTTGGCCATCGTCTGTGCAGGCCGATACAGCCAAGACTCCCTTTCTGGCGCTGACAAATCCTATCGTAATTTGCCACACAACACAGGCCCCGTGATTTCTGGGTCATCGTCGTTTGCATCTGACGTCGCTCAGATGAAGGTCGAAT